ATTATAATCAACATTTGTAATATTTCGTTCCTTCTCCTGACATATATATGATTCCTTCCTCTTACATATATATGATTCTATTTTTAAAAACATTATTTAGTTTGAAGAAGTCTTTTCGAAGGTCGAAACGTGTTTCATGCTTGGGGTGAATTGATTAAAAAATCGTTATGAAAACTGGATTCATTTATGAGCAAATCTCCCCCCTCTCTTTCTAACCCTCTCTCTCTCACTCTCAATTTCTTTCTCGCTCTCCCTCTCACTCTCGCTCTCTCTCTCTCTTACTCTATCTTCTCCCTGTTTTTTATGTGACATATCTCTTCAGGATGCTGGATATCATGGTTATCCACAACTTCCTTTATTCTCTTGTTTTTTTTTTTTGTTCCTTTCGACAATACTTGCTCTTTTGACGATCTATCTTAGTCTTATTTGTTTTATCAACCATTTGACCAAAAGTAGGTTACTCGATAATCCACACTGATTCCTTTGCCTTCGAATCACCTTATGAGTGTTACATTCTATAAGCCTTCTTTCTTCATTAGGTATCCTAAAATTCTCCAAGACGTTCAGCTTCATTAATAAATTTAAACTGTCAGAAACAGTTTCTTTGTTGTTCCTGTTCTTCGAACGTTGTCAGAAATAGATCCTATGACAAAAGAGTATTAAACAAAAAGTAATGATGAAATTAACCGTTTCCTTATAAGGAAACATTTGGCATTCGTTGACCGAGCATTTAGTGTTACTGTCGGTTAAAATTTATAAAATCTATCTCTTGAAGAAGTTTCTTTTCTCAGGAAAATGGCTTTTTCAAGTCCCACTGTTATCACTCTTTCCAGTAGTAATTGAAGTTTCCTTCCTACACTTTTGTTTAAGATAGTGGGAGATAGCAACAACTTGATTATGTCATTATTTTCGCGTGCTATCCATTTCAATTGTTGCTACTGTTGGAAGTCTTCTAATAATGTGGTATTTGTTATTTGATAAAACTTACCATAAAATAGACTTTTCTTTCTTATGCCGTTCGTGTACAAACTGGAGACTACTTTTATTTCTGAAATATTTTGACCATTTTTAATATTTAGATATTTTTAACCAGCGTAAATAGAAAGAATGCATTATAGAAATATTTATCAACATCACTGTAAAATCTGAGAATTACAATAGTTCAAAGTCTCACAATTCCTAAGAATTCTTATAAAAATTTCAGTATACAAACAGTTCCTGGTTTGTCTACCAGTCTCTTCACCCTAGAAATGGGTGAAATGCCTTTATGAATACGAATCCGGTACTTGTCGCTTAGTCAATGGCAAAATGCCGTCACTTCAAATAAACATTGTTTATTTAAGATTAAACATTTATTAGAAATTATATATACTCAGTTTAAATACAGGAGTTATAAAAATGCCTGCAGTATTTTTGATAAAATCTAAAGAAGTATCTGTAATGTTATCGATCCTGACATGGCATCTCGGCTTTAGTCAATCACCGATTTAACGTAGCTTCCCTGTCCCCCTTTTTTTTTTAAATAAATGTTTTCGTGGTAATTGTTCGGATGAGCTATCCTCTGTGTTACATCGACTTTATTAATTTAAGCGCGGTACTAGATTGGTGGTTAGGTCTCATCATTTTACAGTTGAAATTGGTAGATGCAACGGTAAATTCTATGCTAACAGTTTCTTCTCTTTTACCTCTTGCTTGTGAAACTCTCTTCGGGTTTCTAGTCTTACAGTTGACTTTGATCTGCAAAAGTTTAAATGCAACGTCAGTCATTATCTTCCGTCTTCTTAATTCATGTTTTTTCACCTAAAAATGTTTTTCTTTTTCGCATATTCTTTCCTACTGGGTAATCTCTTGCGTCTTAGTGACTTTATTGCCTTGCTTGGCGGGAATTGATTAAAATAAACATATCGGATTATACTCCTTTCCTGTTAGCCATGAGTTGTCAGACAGGGAAATTAGTGTGACACGGATATCCGTTTAAATGTAATTAAAACTGCGCATGTGTGATGTCCTTATGAATAACGGAAACTTGTCTTTGAAGAGAGTGTAACGTAGATGGTTGTTTTTAAAAAGCCAGCTGTCTCAAATCGGACTTGACGCAACACATTCTTCCATCGGAGTTATCCTGTTACTCTTCATTTGTATCCTGTAAAAATTTGCAAACGCCGTCGCCTACGTTTATTTTGAAAGCATTTTATTAGAAATGAGCACCATTCAAAACATCTAGTCAAACGATGTTCCATTTTCGTGGTCAAATATCCTACGTCGCAACAGTATTTGTTTGCATTTTTCATCATTCGTCTCCGCCCCACTGTTTACTTCCACACTAAGTACTGGGCGGTGGTGCCTTTGACCTTTGGTAAATTGTGGAGCGAAAGGTTACCAAGTGTAAATAGGATGATTTTCTGAAGGCAACTGCTATCTAAATTCCCGTTTACGAAGTAAATACTCTTGCACAGATTGTCAGTTAGTCAGACAACTGGTACAACAGAATTTATAAGCATTGAACCAATAAAATACATTCGTTAAGTTCAACACAGGCTGTTTAGCGTTCTTAACTCCGCGCTAAAACTGTGGGGCATTATTACCGTGCGGTTTTCAAACACTCCATTCTTCTTCTTTATGTGTCGTATCCCCTCAGGACGTTGGCGATCATGGCCCTCCACAATTTCTTGTCCTTTTTAGCTCTTAATTAATTTTGTCTTTTTGTTGTCTCTTCTAAACCTTGTCCTGACATCCATTTACTCAAGCTAATTTTTTTCTGGATTATTTTTCTCTGTCTTTCTTGCCTTCAATCTGTCCTGTGAGTATCAGATTTTCCAAGCCTTCTTTCCCCATTATGTGCCCTAGAAATTTTAACTATCTCTTCCCGATGTTAAGTATAAGTTTCTTTTATTGTTTTCATTATCTTTAAAACTTCATCGTTTCTCACATGTTCAGTCCATAGTATCCTCAGCATCTTTCTGTAGAACCACATTTCTGTTGTTTCAAGTCTCTTCATCCTTGAGGTGATTGTCCAAAATTCACTGCAATATAGGGGGAAAGATATCAAATAACAGTTCAGTACATTATTCTTTGTTTCTAACGATACTTTTTGTTTCGTAATGCTCAGCTTTGGTAAGGCATTTTTCGCTAACGCAGTGCGCCTTTGGATTTCAGTGTTGCATTTTCGTCCCCTATTAAAACACTTACTAGATATTTAAATTTTTGTACTTGTTTGATTTTGGTATCTCCAATAAAAATATTATAAATATATAATTAAATTTATATTTAAATTTTTGTACTTGTTTGATTTTGGTATCTCCAATAAAAATGTTATAAATATATAATTTATTTCTTATTTTTTTCTTTTTGTATATTGTCTTGAGTATTCTTTCTCTTTTCTATAGGTTGAAACAATCCCGCAATAAAAAAACAAAATATAACAGTCCAATTTTGAAAAATCAAATATTAAGACCAATGTTAAAACTGGTTTGTCTGATTTTCTGGGATGAAGGGTTCTCATTTACGCTATCCATATTCGGTCTATTCTCCTCATCCTTGTTGACAAATTACAAGTTATTTACAGAAATAACTACTTAAGACTATATTATTGGTTATTATTGTATAATTAAAACAATTGAAAAGGCGTGTCTCAAAATCTGAAAAAAAAAAAAAAAAAAGGAAAAGTCACAGCTGTACTACCGGATACATACGCACCTTAAACAAAAAAAAAACCTGCTTGTAATTTATACTAATATTATGACTAAAAGCAGAAACTCCTTGTAGTTACTTGACAGAAGTATTCAGAAAGCGACTTGCCATGAACATTTGACCTGCCATTTGATAATTATTAAGTTTTGTGGAGTGTTCAAGCAGTTCACACAACTAACAAAGTGTTAAAACCTGTTTAAATTGGACAATGTCAGTCTTGGTTGGTAACAATCATTTGGGTATTGAATATACAGGGAGTGATCGGTAAATTGTCGCCATTTTTTATTTTTAATTCTACGCATGCGCGTTGTTTGTTTTTGATTCTGTCGACTGCACAGTATAGTAGGGTCAGTTGGGCACCGTCTGCGAGAAAAAGAGCACCATGACGCAATTCACTGCGCCAGAAATTTGTAACTGTCATACTGTACTGCTAGGCATTCGTGTTGGAAGCTCCAATACGAACGTTTCAGAGTGTTTGGGTGTTAATCTGAGTACAGTGTAGAGGATTCGGAAAGAGTTGGATGAGCATAATGGTGATTACGAAGGTGTTTAGAGTGATCGCTAGTGATAGTGATGTATTGCCTCCATTCATCTTCCCACGGGGTCTCAGACTCAACATGGAGTCCTACATCAAGTGCCTTGAGAAGGTTAGTGCTGCCCTGGGTCAAGAGGGTGACTGCTGGAAGACCCTGTGTCTGGTAACAGGACTCTGCATCTTTCACACAAACAGGAGAATATAGCTGTTGGATGATACGTTGGGAGTCGAATGGGACGCATTCTGGGCACGTGACGAAAAGAGCATTGAAAGGAACTGATGTGACTTTCGTATTAGATTAAATGATTGTATCATAGTTTACGCGCTGCAGAATTCTTTAACCTTAACCAAGAAAAGGATTCTTGAAAACGACCCTTTGACGATAGTACAGCAACGACATATAAGGAAGAACAGATATAATCTCCGAGATTTAGTGTTTATTTTACTGCTGCTTGTTGATTTCTGAAAGGAGACATCAAGGCGAAAACAAAGTCTATCGGGATTATTTAGCTTTTTACTAGGCGAAGATTAATTTCTGATGAATTCAAACAAGTGAACAAGTCTCACTAAAAATCGAAATTTGGTAATAACCACAGTCATTATGATAAGTGGTTTAATCTAACATTTTTCTGTCTATAAGATTTGTCTATTGAATTTGATTTGTTCCTTAAAAGCGAATTTTAAAAATACGCTTTGAGTTCGCGGTGTTTTTTTTTTATTTCTCAGTTTCTTGGTGGATTGGATGATAAATTTATTTCACATATGTATTTGACAGATTAGACACATCTATCTATCTATCTATCTATCTATCTATCTATCTATCTATCTATCTATCTATCTATGTCAGTCTGCTATCTATCTATCTATCTATCTATCTATCTATCTATCTATCTATCTATCTATCATGCTGTTTACCACAATTTAAAATTTATCATCGCCTGACTGACAGTGGATATAGTCGCTACATGCTGCGCAGCTGAGCTAAGTTTAAGACAGCCAATTGTCGATATAATTCCAGTCTCGCAACCAGGCCTGTCAGTGGCGAAAACCAAAATGAAGATGACGGACAATATGAGAGAACACAAAGAGATTTGTGTTCTACTTTTACCAAGAAAATTAGTGCAAAAGTACTATAAAGATTTTCTATTGGAATTTGAACTCGGTTCACAGATTCCATTTTTGAACAGATAACTATTACACCACCTCCGAAGAACGAAAGCCTTAGGCATACTTTTTTGAATTTCAGGAAAACGATTTCTGAAATTGCAGAGAACAAGGGGCCAAATAACAGTAAAGATGACTTGAAATTGCAGCTGTCTGTCATAATACTGTCTGTCGGCTAAGAAGCAGCTGTTGGAAATTAATTGTTCCTTTTACTTTCAACTTCCTTTGTTGTTGCTTCTTTTTCACCACGTCTCGCTTGAGTTAGGATGATGTTTCATTTCGGAACTTTGGTCACAGACCAAATAAATTCAAGTGGTTTAGCTTAAAGAAAAAATTATAAGCATTTGGGGGTCTGCTCCGCAATAGACCGCCCAATTGTCGACCTGCTTGCTTTATTTTGTCATGCTTACTTCATATAATGGAAAGGCGATTTAGTATTTGTGACGAGAAATAATGTTGGCTTTTATTTTCTTGTCGGCGTATATAACATTTCTACGATTTATTCCAGGAGATATTATTATTAATTTTGATGCTATTGTGACAACCCCCCCCCAAAAAAAACAAAAAACAAAACAAAAGAAATGAAAAAAAATCACTGTGTTTGACAATGTTACCAAAAATTCGACAATGTCTTTTTCAAGTTATATTTTTAAAAAAACATTTTCAAGTATAAAATTCTATAAATCTACAAAACGTTATCAGTCTTTGTACAAACGTTGCTTGTTTACGATTTATTACTGACTAAATACAGCAATTGTAGCCCAAGGCCGAAAAAGAGGGGAGATAGGTCAAGGCTGGTCGACATTAACTATCCTATACCTAGCTAATCAGATCCACGACCCATTCATTCATTACAATTTACTCATTCAACATAAGAATCTATCCGTCACCATTCGCTCCTACATACACCAAAATACCTCCCCACACAGGGCACCAACCAAAAAACACCCGATGACGTAAAATTTCAATATATACAATTGTGAATACAATGTTGCAGTTTTTGGGGGTATGTGTGTACTAGTGAGCCAGTCAAAATGAGCTGACTCATTTCATAGTCCACCAAGAGAAGGGTTAACCAATCAGAAAGCTCAAAATATTTAATCCGACGTGTATAAAGGCAGCCATTTTGTTTTTTTCTCCCAAAATATCTCCACTGCCAACCTGATATCGAAGACTTAAAGAATTAACAGCCGCTACTTTCTCCGAATCTACACTACCAATCTCTGATATTGAAGAGATTACGGACTTCACTGGATTCCATATTCAGAGACTACGGCAAGCATGGTCAACATACAAAAATATATATAAAAATTATATCAATGTTATGAAATGATGGAAAAGGCGATGACCCCGTAAACACACTGAAAAAACGGGAGATGTTAGGAAGACCCGCCCACCCATCAAAAATAAGAGTTGCCGCTGTATTCTGTTTTTCGAACAAAATCGAGAGGCTTTCTCTCTAAGCGAGGAGGGGGGAGTATAAAAAATGATGGGGGTTTAGAAAATTAAAAAACTGACCCAGTCGAGATAAAAAGGCAAGCCAAAACAAACTGGGGATTTTGGGAATCTCGGTTTGAATCATAGGGAGAAGTCGCGCAGAGGCCAGGAACAAGAAGAAAATATCTTAATCAGGGGAGGGCTACACAGGAATCTGACGTTGTGACTTGTGGGTAGGGGCTTAAAAAAGAAAATCAAGTATAGCCCCGTTCACGCGAACCAGGCTCGTCGCAGTTACTAGCTTTTGCTGAAATCTGTCAATGCCAAACGCTTTCTATCAGTTCTAATCTTCATCATGAGCTGATGTTCAAAGAATCTGATCACATCCTGGTGAGAATAACGATCACATTGCAAGATTTCCTCACTCCCATCGTCCAAACCACCATGCGTTTCACCCTAGAATACGGGGCGACAGATTGTCTCACGTATATGCGCGATCAATGAGCACGAGCTTTTCAAGGGCGATACGAGCCGTCAATTCACCGGCATAGTCCCAGAGGGAGCGAACCCGTGGACAGTGGTACAAGGCGTGCGAAGCCGTCACCTCTAAGACAAGGTGACACCGATGATAGGCAAATCCGCCAAGCCCTATTTGAAAGCTACCTCATTGAGAGATAGCCTACTCTGAGCCAATCGTCAGGTAAGTGAAAACTCAGGGATGCTGAGATAATCCACCGCTGGCGCCCAAGACCAGAAAGAGCGCAACTCCGTCGCCGACAAACGGAACTGGTCGCAGAGCGAACCCTTCACAACCTCCTTCGATTATCCCCGATACAAAAGTCGTTTACGCCGAGAAAGGTCACTGGGAATCCGACTAATCCCGGGGCCTACGATGGCGCTCAGTCATAGAAACGGGAGGACTAATGGTAAGATGAGGGAATGCGGTCCTTACACTCAAGATCGTCAGATATATCTGTGCTCAACGTCCGTGTCATGGGGTCTAGGGATGCCCCCATTTGGCAAATCACCAACATGCAGAGAAGTAAAGCCAACCACGAAGCCAAGTGTGGCATTCCCCCCCCCTGACAAGGAAGTTGGGCACAGACATATCTGTTGACGTGATGCTTGCGACCACGTCACAAGAAGGAGGAGAGCAAGCGCCCGATCTCCTTCTTACATTCCTTACAGATAAAAAGTACGTCAGCAGCTAAAAAATGAGAGGAAAGACGTAAGTGGGACACATCTCAGCCCTACCCTTCAACGACAATCACCTTGTCGATGCGCCGACTTTTGCCTGTACTTCTAACCAATTTTTCCCCAGCTAGTCCGGGCCTGAAACAAACTCCGAGAATGTGGACGAGCCCGTCAGTCCAACCAAAGAGCCCCGGAAGATTGACCTCTTTCCAGGCACCTAACCTCAAGCGTGAAGACATGTCACGTTAATCGTAGCCCCGTGACCTTTTCGTACGGTTCAAGCACATTCAGCACCACCTCAATGTCGCTGCGGAACGACACGAAAGTGGACACTTTATCGGCGTACACGGAAAACCTGACTCTGGCGCCACCAGGGGCAGCAATTCTACGTAGGGCCGAACTGTACGCACTGTCCCAAGCCGGCGAGAGAGAGGCTTCAACCCCAAAGCGTAAAGAAGGGGCTACAACGGGCGACCCTGACGAACCGACTGAATAAGCGAAAAACGCGTGATCGTTTTCCGTTCACCTGTACCACAGCACTGGGAGAGCGATAAAGGAGGCTAATCCACCAGCAGAAGTCCGGCTCGAATCCGACAGCCTATAGAACAGCAGCCAGGTACCAATAGTCGACCCTATCAAATATCTTGGATTGATCCAAATTGATCAGCGTGGCTTGCTCGTCAAATTTTACACCCTCTAGGATCGTGCGGATCAGATGCATGTTGCTCTGAATTGTTCAGCACTTAACAGAACAAGTCTGCTCGAGTCCAAACAGAATCTGGGCAACTGACTGCAAATGCCCCGACAGGATATTGGCCGTAATATTAAACTCTGTGTTTAGCAGAGTTATGGGCCTGTAATTATCTTTTGTCTTGCGGATGCCCATATATTCCGTCTGTAGACGGACAGACTTGTCACCAAAATGCTTTCGGCCAACCGCATGGCCTCTTGTTCGGTCGCCCCCAAAAATGTCCCACAGTTCATTCGTCCCCAAGCCAGAATTTTGGGGCCAATCTTGAAACTTTTCATTTGAGGCTTTTCATAGTCTGACCCCAATTAATTTTCGACTTTTTACGCAGGGAGATTGTTCTGGTATTAAAGGCGTTCAGTGCCTCTGGTATAGTAAGGAAGTCGTTTTCTCTCGTTCTGTATACCTTTTTGCAAGTGTGCATAATAGATGGAGTTTTAAGGGCCTACTTTCGGTCCAGGCAGTGTTTTTTGCGGTGTTTTTTTTTGTTCTTTGTTACTCCTGGATAGAGAGTTAAAAAGTTAGAGAGGTCGAATATCATATTGAATAAGTTAGAAAATGATCCTGGAATAATAAATATATATTTGAACTTTATTTCAATCCTTCATGATCTTTAGATCAGCTATGATTAATTAATGATGAACATGTCATCACATTACTTCTACTAAGCTTAGAGAGTAATTATATATTCTTATTGCTCAATGTAGAGTCCAATAGTGAGATAAAAAAACTCAGAGAATTCCTGTAAGATATCTTTAATCATTTCTAAGATACAACAATTCAGAGCTTAATTTAGCAATTGGACAATTTTGCCGTTACACTATTTAGACAATTTTGCTGTTACACCCGGTATATATACATATACATACATACATACATACTGTTATAGTGGAACACACCTATTCTATTTTTAATAGAGTCTCCCAACTATAATAAGTAGGAGTAGTAGGAGTCGCTCAGGGGGTCGGTCAGTCAGTCGACTGACTGTACGGTTGAACTCTCTGCCTTCGGGCGGGGTGGAACCTGAACGAGGCTACGCCGAAGGGCGGATTCTCTTTCGGGGAGGTAAACCGACCCTGAACCCGTTTATACGGGTTCAATGTGTATATTTTTGGCAGATCCCACGGGCTCGGAAATCCCACGTTAAACCGGCCTTGTGCCACATGATTCCCTCGTGGGGGGCGGTGACTAAATATCGTCGGTCAGTCAGTCGATGCCAGACGACTGTTAGTCGGATACTAAAGTATCAGCGACCACAACTAGATTTCTCTGCGTCATTACCTATTATATCAAGTTCCTAACGTTTTGTACGTCGAACCTATTTTAGGACCGACTTCGTACAAATACAAGCCTCTACTGTGAAACC